CGGTGAACCTTTGGAGTGGTGCTGCCCAGAGCAGTGCCATTTCTTAATTTGGCCAAAGGTGCCCAAAGGTCTGGTGGAGGACTGGCCTTTATCCATGGGATTCTTGAGCAGCTCTGCCTGGCTGGCTGCGGCACTGGTACCATCCAGGGCGGCATCCTGGGCAGCTGACTGAATGCTGTTCCCCGAGACCCAGCTGCCCTTCGCTTTTCTTTTGGGTAGACAGTGGTCAGTTACTGCCGATGGGAGATGGCCAGTCTTCCCTTCTATCCTCTTGCCATCTCAGACCACACTTTCCTTGCTGGACAGAAAGGAAGTTACTGGTGGCAAGTTGTTTGCACGATCAGGTTTTCTTCTTCTGGGGTCTTCGGTGGGAAGCTTATGGGACTCTTACTGAATGCTGACATTCCCCGCTTCACTTTCTGGAAGTCAGTGATCTGATGGCCTCTCTTGTTGTGACTCGGAGAAGTGTTAGCCATCTCCTGACTTGTCCTTAGATCACCCGCACTCCTTTCTGATTTCTTAGTCTATGTCAACTCAGTAACACAAGGCCCTTTGAGGCCCTCGTTGGCCTCCCCTGGGCCTGGGCCAGTGATGGTTGCAGGGTGGGCAGCAGCCGTATTCCAAGGGGTCGATGGCAGAGCTTGTCAGCAAAGTCGAACAGGAGGCATTCTTGTAATTTGAGTTGTTTTCTGATAAAGACTCAAAAGCAAGTTCTGGCAGTTCCAAAGCCTTCCTTCCATAGAATGTTGTGTTCAGTTTTGTTGGCAGACTCCTTGTCCTTTCCAGGTGCATCTGGTAAAGTAAACTTGTTTTAAGGACCCACAAATGGAGGCTGCCCAGTGGCTGAGGCCATCACAAATCTAACCCTAAGTCAGCCCGCACTTACGGAAACATCTGTCGTGGACACCTAACATATGCCAGTCGCGGTCAACAGCTTTAGTGAGCCTACCTGACCCTAGAAAATAGTTCCTGCTAGCCTTATAAGGAATCCTCCGTCTCCTAGCCAGTCATGCCCTCTTCTTTTGTTGCCTCTTCTAATACCTGCAGGAGCAGGAAAATTTTCCTTCCAGCCTTCTAGATTCTTTGGCTGCTCTAATAATCAAATTGACACAAGGCAAATCAACAGGAGAAAAACTAATTTCATATGTGTGGGAGCCCCACAAAAATATGAGAATATGAGACCCAAAAGCAAAGCCAGGTAGTTAAGGCTTATATATAACATCCTGAGTTAAGGAAGAGAGGAGCAGTTTAGGGATACACAGTAGAGAAAGGCCATTGACAGGAAAGAAGAGAATGTTTGAAAAACAAAGTTTGTGCTGTTTTACAGATAAGTTTCTTAGGTAAAAAGCTGTCTCTAGTAATAGCTCTCTTCCTGGAAGCGGCTGCCTTTCCAAAGTAGATGTAGGCAGTTGAGGGGGAGGTATAGACCTTTTCCTGAATCTTCTGGGCATTGATTACCTTTAGCTCAAAGTCTTCACGCCGAAATGGAATGCTTTGGGATGACCAGTTCTCCCCTTCACACTCTCCAGGCTCACTTTGCCCACAGCCCTCGGGAAGAGTGTCCAGTGATGGCGAGGCACAGCATGTCCCCAACCCGTGGATTGTTTTCCCTCAGACTCACTTTGGACTTGTTCTAGCTTTGTCATTTGAACCTCTCGTGTCCCCTAGATTACCACATCAGTCCTGAATAATGGCCAGGAAGCCTGGGTTGGGGTATGTCCCACTCTTTGTTATTCCTCCCCCTTCCTCCTACACTCCAAAATTTCTAAATGTTCTGGGTTGCTTCTAGAACGGATGGTGCAAGGAGGGGAAGCAAGTCTCCTAAAAGGCCAGGTCTATGGGTAAAAGGGGAGGGAACTAAGGTGTGGGTGGGAAAAGAATGGTTTTCAGCGCAACTACAGTCTCCTTGATGAGAACACAGCAACCTGCACCACAGCAAGGTTCCGACACACTCATGAGGAAGCCTCTACCCAGGTGCGCTTACTCCCGGAAGCCTTTGATGTACTCGAAATAGCAAGTACTTGTGTCACTAGCCTCTTGCTCAACCATACACCCCAACAGTTAAAACCAGAAGTAGAGAAGACCCCTTAACTGATGCTCTACCTGAGACCCATTGTTCTTATTTCTGAGACATTGACTAAGATGTTTTGCAGTGACTGGAACATTCCAGCCACCAGGCCAGAAAAGCTCTAAGTGATGTAATGCCTAGAAGTCCCTACTCCACACCCACACGTTCCCTTTCCTACTCATGATCGTGTGCTGAACATCTGCCCACCCCTGTCTATGACCACACGCTGTCTGCTCTCTTGGAAATACCCCCTGAAGCTCTCGCCCCGTGAAGAGGCATCTCTTCTGCTGGTGGAGAGGTCAGGTGGTAAGGCCTAAGCCTGCCACCTCCACCTGCTGCCAGCACCCAAAGCAAACCTCTTCCATTCTCTTTTCCAAACCTTTCTCTCCTGACTGGCTTCTCTTGCGGTAAGTTTACCTGAGTTTGTTCAGCAGCCTTGTTGGGAAGCTCAGCCAGGAGCTCTGCTTTCTATTTGTTCAGCATCCTTGAGATTGCCTGGGAGGCGACAGTGGAAGCAGGACAGCAGGCCTTATCCATTTTTTTCCCGAGTTAGTGATGACCAGTAACGCTAGTACTGGTTTGTCAGCCTTGGGCAAATCAGTGAACTTTTTTTTTTTTCCTTTTTTGAGATTTTACTCATTTATTTGACAGAGAGAACACAAGCAGGGGGAGGGGCAAAGGGAGAGGAAGAAGCAGCCTCCCTGCTCAGGGAGCCTGACAGGGGACTCAATCCCAGGACCCTGAGAACATGACCTGAGCCAAATTCAGACTCTTAACCAACTGAGCCACCCACGCTCCCCTCAGTGAACTTTTCTAAGCTTCAATTTCAACCTTTTTTTTTTTTTTCAGAGACGGAGGTGGGGGGAAGGGCAGAGGGAGAAGGAGAAAGAAAATCTCAAGCAGACTCCGTGCCCAGTGTGAAGCTTATCATGGGGTTTGATCTCATGACCCTGAGATCATGACCTAAGCCAAAATCAAGAGTTGGATGCTTAACTGACTGAGCTACCCAGGCGCCCCTCATCATTTTTTTTCAAAGATTTTATTTATTTATTTGTCAGAGAGAGAGAGAACACGCACGAGAGTGCACAAGTAGGGGGAACAGCAGGCAGAGGAGGAAGCAGGCTCCCCACTGAGCAAGAACCCCAATGCAGGGCTCGATCCCAGCATCCTGGGATCATGACCTGAGCCAAAGGCAGAAGCTTAACTGACTGAGCCACCCAAGCATCGAAACCCCTCATTATTTTTAAAACAGAGATAATAATACTGCCTGGGTTGTTATGAAGATCACACTGAAGAAAGTGCCAGACAAAAAGTGCCAATATTACTACATTTTTTTTGACACTATGATGGTAGTGATTATAAGAGGTCTTATTATTTTAAATACCACTAGGGAAGAAGAAAATTCTGTCAGTTACCCACAGCACATCATTTTCTTGTCAGAAAATTTCTTCATATTGAAACAGATTTATTTGGACAGATTTTTATAATAAATCATCCTTGTACATTGGTAAAAAGGAACTATAAGTGAATATAAATTAAGGTATTCTTAAATTTCCCTACAGTTTTGATCTACTGCTACTGAATCATTTGTTAAGGCGGTTAGTGCTATCAGAGTTTTTCCCACATAACATTGCCTGTGTATCATCGTGAGCACTGGGGATGCAATATTTCTTAGAAGAGTGCTTCATACTGTCTTTCTTCCAAGCCAAGATTACCAGTTCTGCATAATTAATATGTACGCACAAGCACTGGCGTCTATTCCTGCCCAGTGCTTGGCCAACTTAAGACATCCTGATTCCAGGGGTACTACAAGTATGAAAATATGTAACTGTTAGAATTGACAAAATATAGTACTGTCACTGATTTCGTCTTATTTCATAGGTTTGGGTTTGTAAGGGCAGCAAGTGTTGGGGACAAAAAATTTCCTCTGCCATTTAAGGTCCTTCTAGCTGGACTAAGAGTCAGATTGTCAGGAAGCAGATTAACAAGAGGAAATCAAATTTAATAGTGTACATATGGGGAATCCACACAGGCATGGAAATTCCAAAGACAGGCAGCATGAGGCTTATATGATGAGCTAAAGAGAGGGGAAGGGATCTGAGAATACCAAGGGAGAAAGACCACTAGCAGAAAGGTGAAAGGTGGTGTTTGGAAACCACAGGCAGGCGCCCTATAATGTAGAGAATTTCTTAGGTAAAGAGCAATCTTTGTTAATAACTCTCTTCCTGGGGTGCCTGGTGGCTCCGTTGTTGAGTATCTTGATTTCAGCTCAGGTCATGATCTCAGGGTTGTGGGATTAAACCCCACATCAGGCTCTGTGCTCACTGGGGAGTCTGCGTGAGGTTCTCTCCCTCTCTCTCTGCCCCTTCCCCTGCTCACACACATGTGTGTTTGTGTACATGTGTTTGCTCTCTTTCTCTCCCAAATAAATCAGTAAATCTTAAGAAAAAAAAAAAATAGCTGTCTTCCTGGTACAAGTAGGCAGTTGAGAGGAGATAGAGTTTCTCCTGAATCTGCTGGGTTTGGATTGCTTTTAACTCAAAACAGTGTTCATGCACAAGTGGCCCATTTTGGGGCTGCCTGCCCTTGGACCCTACAAAAGCGTGAAAGCCTCTGCCTCATCCCAGGAATTGTCCTTTCTGTTTGCACAAACTTAGAGTGGACGGTTTGCCTGGAATATGACCCTGAGGTGTTAACAGGATAGGCTTCCCAGTGAGATGGATAAGTCATAGAAATTATCTTGTGTGTTTCCTCATTTACCTATTCTTTTTCTTTTTTCTCATTTACTTATTCTTCTTCCTGTCTGCTTTCTGATTTTCCTTTGAAGTTCTTGAGTTCAAATCTAGTTCCTAAGAAACATCAAAGGAAGCCTGCACCAGAGGCCTTCCAGGGTCTCTTTGGAAGCTGGACTCCATCCACTGTGTGAGACGGAATGGCACCCCCCACCAGTGTGCTCTCCTCTTTACTGCTGCTGGCCACTGTTGCAGGTAGGAAACCCTCACCCTGGAGACCCTAGCATCACACATGAGCTTCCTGTCTTTGGCTTAAACAACTCAGATCAGAAACAAAACCTAGGGGATGAACCTAGGGGAAGGGAAAGAGGAATAAAATAAGACGAAATCAGAGAAAGAGACAAACCATAAGAGACTCTTAATCATAGGAAACAAACTGAGGGTTGCTGGAGGGATTGGGGGTGGTGGGATGGAGTAACTGGGTGATGGGCATGAAGGAAGACACATGATGTAATGAGCACTGGGTGTTAAGTAAGACGGATGAATCACTGACCTCTACTTCAGAAAGTAATAAACAACGAAACAACTCAGATCAACCTGAAATGAAGGTGCTATGTGTTTGCTTCCCAGCAGAATTATTTTACATGTAAAAGGCATAAAGTCCAACCTCATGCGCCAGTGGTTTTCTGGAAATGGGAATTTAAATAGTTTTTTATTGTCATGATGATTTTTTTTAAAGATTTTATTTATTTATTTGACAGAGATCACAAGTAGGCAGAGAGACAGGCAGAGAGAGAGGAGGAAGCAGGCTCTCTGCTCAGCAGGGACTCCATCCCAGGACCCCGGGATCATGATCTGAGCTAAAGGCAGAGGCTTTAACCCACTGAGCCACGCAGGCACACCTGTCATGACGATTTTTGAAAACATAAGGTCACAGTTTGTATATACTAGGAAAACTTTATATATTTATTTAAAATAATTGCATAATAGATCTTTTTGGAAAGCAAATGACCACACTCTTTTATCATAAATCTTTATTTTCATATATTCTGCTCTGCTTGCTCAGTGTGGAAATACCCATGACAGGAAATCACTGGTGAGCTGCAGTGCTGGTGATTGGTGTCCTGGCTTGGCCCGTTTGAATTTACCGAGGACTGAGAGTAGAGATAGGGCCGGGGAACCTAAGTTTGTGCGCGGGGATTATCCAAGTGTGGTGAAGCCATAATGAGGCTTACCTATGTTAAAACAGAAATTCAACTGAGTAAATTTAAAGATCTAATTAGCTTTATTCAAGGATTCGTGACCTGGGCAGCATTCCGTTGAGAAGGTAGAAGGGAGCTTGAAGGAGCTGTACAAAATGGAATGATTTTACAGGGAGAAGTAGGCAAGGTCACTTTTTCTCAGGGGAAGTCAGAGTCTTACCATGCAGATGACTTCAGGTGTAGGATCTACACTGTCCAGACTGAGAAGTTTCAGTTGCATTCGTGGAAGAGGCAGAATCTGCAGTTACAAATAGGTCATCTCAGTAGAGCTTAACATAAGTGATTCCATTTTGGGCCTGTTTCTTTTTAACACGGAGAGTGATCTTTGTTAAAATGCAGTTTCCTCTGCTTTAGACCTACGGAACCAGAACACCTAGCAGGTGTGGCTCAGGGGTCCGAAGCAGCTACACCATTAGAAGCACTGTTGTAGAGCATGGAGGGGCCCCCTCAGAAAACCCTGCCACTGGAGAAGCCCTGTCATTCCCCCAGAGATTACTAATATTTGAACACTTTTTTTTCCCCTCCCAAATCCCCACTTTTTCATTCCTTTCTGTCTTTTTCTTGTAATTTTTCCATTAATTTAAAATTCCTGAATTACTTTATTAGTAACATTATGTGCAGTTTGCCTGTCTTCCCTCTCTGTCCACTCTACCTTTAACAAAATGCTAACCAATGATTTTACCGATTTGTCAGCAATCATGGAGTGACTATGATCCTAGATTGGGCGGGGACAATGGTAGAGGGTATGAACATGGGTGAGTCTTCTCTGGTCTCTTCAAGAGCTTTCGTGGAGTGAGTCTGAGAGAGTCTGAAGTAATTACGGCCACTTGGCCCAAGAGAAGCATGGTTTAGTTGTTAGAAACCCTCTCAGACTTCTTCATTGAGCACTAAGACCTCTGCGTTAGGTACTTCTGTCCATACAGATCATTCAGGTGATGTTTTTGCAAAACAAAGGGATTATGAACTCCCAGAAGTGTATGGCAGTTTCCACCTGATTGAAAACTGCTTTAAGCTCTTCCAAGGCTTCTGCCATGGCCAGTTCTCTGTAGACACTGAAACAGTTTGCTTGCTTTAGGAGCAAAGCCTGCCTTCTGGATAGTGGTTTCTGACACAGTTTTATAAGTAGCTTTAGAGCTGCCTGGTGGCCAACACCAGAAATGAAACAAGGCCATTTCTGTGGCTCACACTGTCCAAAAGAAGATGACCTCACAATTTTTCCAGGGAAATGAAGCACATCTTACCATGTGTGTTTGAAAGAAGTTTCTAGCGTGGGTCTTCATTTAAAGGCCACTCAGAGATGTAGTGGTATCTTTACAAATAAAGGCAGTATTTTTGAGAGTATAGGTGGGAGTCAGAGATTAACTGTCTGCTGTACACCCTTCATCACTTGGTTTTAATTAGAGATTTTTTTTTTATGTTCAGCTGGAGGTCTTTTTTCCCTCTCTATATCTGATATTAAGCTTTTTGTTAGAAAATAAAAGCTGAAACTACTAAATAGATTTGCATTTGAGAAAATATCCTTCCAGTTGAATTAAAATAATTCCTTGCTAGCTTATTCATTTGGAAAGATGCATATCTATTACATCTAATTCCTCTTAAATTGGACCAATTAGACTTTCCTATAGAGCCAGTGTTTGACACTGACCAATTCTTAAAAGTGTATAATGATGCTCATGTGTACACAGGTAAAAATAAAAGGGACTCCATTTCTCTTCCCTCCAGTTAGAAGTGCTCTCTGATTGTCACTATGAGGAAAGTAACAGTAGTTTAAAAAATTGTCAGTGACGAGCCCTCACAAGTAAAGAGACCTCTACCAACAAAGAATAAAAGTGACTTTGCCTTTGGCTTTCGGGGAATGAGAGACTGCTGCAGAAGGTTCTGAAAGTGCCACTTGCTGTCACTGTGTCTCATGGGCCTGCACCACTGCATCTGCAGAACACAGCTGGGGTGGGGGATAGCATTGCCCTCACACTTGCCCAGTTTGCTGACTGGAAATATTTGTAGCTATTTAGAATCTGATTAGAGCTAGTTGCTGCAGAGGTGCCTGCATGGCTCAGTCGGTTAAGCAGCTGTTTTCAGCTCAGGTCATGATCCTGGTCTCAGGGTCCTGGGATCGAGCCCCACTTCTTTGTCTCCCTCTGCTGCTCCTCCTGCTTGTGCTCTCTCACTTTCTCTCTCTGCTAAATAAAAGTCTTTAAAAGTAAACCCAGTGATGGGTATTAAGGAGGGCAGGTATTGCATGGAGCACTGGGCGTTATATGTAAATAATGAATCATGGAACACAACATCAAAAACTAATGATGTACTATATGGTGACTAACATAATAAAAAATAATAATTATTTAAAAATTCTAGAGGGGGAGCAAAAAAAGAAAACCAAAAGACTAGTTGTTACAGACCTGTACTGAGGACAAGTTTTTCTCTCCTTTGATATTTCCCTGTCAGTTGAGCTATCATCAGAATAACCTGTGAGATTAAAAAAAAAAAGAATCAGGGGCATCTGGGTGGCTCAGTCATTAAGCACCTGGCTTCAGCTCAGGTCATGATCCCAGAGTCCTGGGATCGAGCCCCACGTGGGGTGGGCTCCCTGCTCAGCTGGAAGCCTGCTTCTGCCTCTCCCACTCCCCCTGCTTGTACTCCCTCTCTTGCTGTGTCTCTCTCTGTCAAATAAAGAAATAAAATCCTTTAAAGAAATCAGTTTAACAACAGCAATAATGTGATATCCCTAAACTAAACCTTTATAACTGAATTTTGGGTGAGGAGCAAAATATTATAAATAATAGAAAAGCAGCAACAGATGGAAAAGGATTCTTCTGGGCCCCAGTGAGAGAACATGGAGAGAGAGAGGATGGAGCATCCAGTGGGCAGGTGGGTGAGTGTCAGGACAGGTACGGGGTGGAGGGGCGGGACAGGAGGAGGACGCGTGGATGGGTGTGGCAATGAGGGGGGTACTGTGAGGTACAGCAGGGGAATTTCTGCTGGAAATGCTGGTTGTTTATGGGCTGGCCAGACACGACTTGGCTCCTTTCCTCATCAGAGACTGTGTCCTTTGCAGGTTGTGCCTGTGGCCCCGTGCAGCGAGGGGAGGACATTCGCCAATGCCGTCATTTCACCAAACCTGGAAACTACCCGAATCGCATGGGTGCCTCAGACCAGCCCCGTGGCGGACTGCACGGCCGCGTGCTGTGACCTGGCCCTCTGTGACCTGGCCTGGTGGTTTGAGGGCCGCTGCTACCTGGTGAGCTGCCCGCGCTCCGAGAGCTGCGAGCCCAGGGAGATGGGCTCCGTCAGGTCCTACCTCACCTTCGTGGGCAGGCCGGCCCGCAGGCCCTGGCAGCTCCTCCGCTACAGGGAGATGGTGCTCCGCAGGAGGTCCCCCTCGGGACTCTGGGGGGACTCTCCTGAGGGTCTCAGAAAGGACTTGTCTCCTCTGGGCCCCGCTCTCCGCCTGAGAAGGGCGTCGGAGTACTCCGATGACTACAGGGACCCTGAGCAAGACCACTTCCAGCCCCTCAGCAAGCAGGAGCCCAGAGGCAGTGCCGAGTACACCGACTGGGGCCTGTTCCCGGGTGGCCCCTCTGCTGGAGACGGCCTGCCCGGGGCCGCCGAGGAGCAGGAGGACCCTGAGTGGGGCCCAGAGGAGATGTCGGAGTACTCCGATGACTACAGGGACCCTGAGCAGGACCCCTTCCAGCCCCTCAGCAAGCAGGAGCCCAGAGGCAGTGACGAGTACATGGACTGGGGCCTGTTCCCGGGCATCCCCTCTGCTGGAGACGGCCTGCCCGGGGCCGCCCAGGAGCAGAAGGATCCTGTGCTCCATCCGCTGAATGGGTCAGCACGGACCCCGGCCCCAAAACGATCCTCGGAGAGCAGGACGTCGCTGCCCTGGGTGACAGCTCCACCTTCCAGAGAGGCCTTGGGAAGGGAGACTGTTGGGCTCCAGGACGCATCTAGCAGTGGCTCTGGGGAAGAGGTGGGCTGGGTAGCTCAGGGTGGGCGGTGCATGGAGGGGCTGTGCGGGCGGGAGGCCGGGGGCTGGACACATCAGAATGTAACCCTCACAGCCTCCGGGAGCCAGACGCATCTTGTTCCTCTGCTGCGCCTTCGGGACCAGAGTGTGAAAAAGAAACACATTTCTGCCCTCACAAGCCAGTCATCTCATGATGATGACTCGGCACTTCTCCCGTGGGATGCCTCTCCCAGTATCCCCAGGGAATAAGGATCTACAGACGTCCCAGCAGCCGGTCTGTAGACACGGCACACTTCCCCAGAGAAAACTCCCAGGCTCCAAGTGCAGTCATCAGGGCCCCTTCCCCAAACCAGGGCTTAATACCCAGCCTGACTGCGGTTAACCTTCCCCAGGGACGCAGTCTCAGTCCGTCCTTCTCCAACTTCCCAGCCTGCACCAGTGAGGTAAGCCCCTAATGAGATCCTCTGGTTCTCCAAAGGGAGGGGACCTTCCCTGAAATAATCCCTTTTTGTTGTTGTTTACAATTGCCTTGTCCTGCATTTAAAAACTTATCCTTCCTGTAACCCTTTAGAGCTCCTTACTATTGCTAGATAGGGCGCTGCCCAATTGATGAATCATTCAGTAAGCCCAGTTAGATCTCAAAAACCCTTGGTTGAATTATTGTGTTTTTTGTTTTTTTTTTTAAGATCTTATTTTTAACCAATCTTTTCACCTAATGTGGGGCTTGAACTCACAACCCTGAGATCAAGAGTCACATGCTCCACTGCTGAGCCAGCTGGAAACCTGGAATTGTTAATTAACAGATTTGGCGGCAGTCACAGGGTTGGGGGCCCAAGGTGCCCTGCTGACGGCATTCAGGGACCATGAGAAACACAGCCATGGCACTTGTGGGCCCACGGCACTCGTGGACCCCTTCCTTTCTCAGTTCTCTTTCTTGCCTTTCCCCAGGGCCTCAGGAGACCCTCCCTAGGTCTGGACTCGGCTCTCCCGGTGTTACGCTCCCGGTCTCACTTGCTTTCTGAAGCTCTCCGTCTGTTTGGAATCATTAGCCACACTGAGAACTGATGTGATCGGTGAGGTCCCAGAGCAAACCATCAAGACAGAATTCTTGCGTGCTCGCTTCGGCAGCACGTATACTAAAATTGGAACGATACAGAGAAGATTAGCATGGCCCCTGCGCAAGGATGACACGCAAATTCGTGAAGCGTTCCATAAAAAAAAAAAAAAAAAGACAGAATTCTTGAGATATTTTCAGTGCAAAAGAGGTGGTTTTATCCAGGCTCTGGGACAGGACCCTTGGGCAGAAGGAGCTGCACTGGGATTGTGAAGAGCCATTGGTAATAGACTTTGAAGTTGAAGGAGTAGAGACAAAGGAAGTTTTCCAAAGGATTGGAAGGGGGTTGTGTTGGTAAGAGTTTGCCGTTGGCAGAGGCGTCTGTGACTTCGGGGCTGTAGTCCTTCCACGCGAGCAGCAGCTGTGCCCTGCGCACCCAGCGCTCCCGAATGTGGAGATTCCCTCTTTCAGCCAGGCTGCGTCCGCTCAGAGCAAGACGAGCATGCGCACGCCTTACTCGAGCCTCAGTGAGCAGGTGACAGTGCAGCGCCCCAGCCAAGAGAAGTCCTGGGCGCAATTCCAGCATCTCCCAATGTGGAACCCGGGCTGGGGAAGGGGTGCGACCGGCAGACCTCAGCTCATGGGGGCTATAGCTGCCCCTGGGCCCGAACCAGGGTAAGGGCTCCAGTCAAATGGGGGGCTGTGGTCCAGATGGCCAGCAGTTCCTGGTGTGCAGGACAGAGGCAAAAGGAAATTCAGATAAAATTCAATGTCCTTACCTCTTGCAGCCCCCTGACGAATACTGGAGGCGGGCAGAGTGTGACATTCCTCCAGGAAACTCCCAGCTGTCTTCAGGCTAGTGCTAGAGTCAAAAACCACCTTAGCTTCAGGCTAGGCTGGCCTCCAGGACCCTGGGAGTCTTCTTTAAGTTCTGACAATCCTTTGGAAAACTTCCTTTGTCTCTACTCCCCCAACAATTAATGAGTTAATCAGTTATAATTGTTTTACAAGCGAGTCCACTGAACCCCAGATTCATAGATCTAGAACATTGAAATAAATATGCAAATGGAGGTAGAACTGTTTTTTTTTTTTTTAAAGATTTTATTTATTCATTTGACAGAGAGATCATAAGTAGGCAGAGAGGAAGGCAGAGAGAGAGCAGGGGAAGCAGGCTCCCTGCCGAGCAGAAAGCCCGATGTGGGGCCTGATCCCAGGACCCTGAGATCATGACCCCAGCTGAAGGCAGAGGCTTAACCCACTGAGCCACCCAGGCGCCCCAGAACTGGTTTTTCTAGGAGAAAGTCTACATGTCTATAGACAAGAGTTATTTTGCAGTATTATCAGTTACCTACAACTAGTAAAGTTGTACAATAGCTCAAATACAAGAAAGTCTAGAACCAGAGAACTGGGAGAACCTATAGACAGTAGTTTATTTTACACTGAAATACAAATTTTGCCCTACATTCTAATTAAGTTTTTTTGAACTGAAGGGAGTTGTAAATAATCCTTGAATTCGTGTTGATAAACATTAGATCTGCAGCATAAGAAATATAATTTTATTCTCCTAAAGTAAAAAGCTTGGAATTAATGACAAAAACAAAGATTTCTCTCACCAAAAAAGTATTTAAAATAACACAATTGGGGGCGCCTGGGTGGCTCAGTGGGTTAAGCCTCTGCCTTCGGCTCGGGTCATGATCTCAGGGTCCTGGGATCGAGCCCCACATCGGGTTCCCTGCTCAGTGGGGAGCCTGCTTCCCCCCCTCTCTCTGCCTGCCTCTCTGCCTACTTGTGATCTCTCTCTGCCAAATAGATAAATTAAATCTTTAAAAAAAAATAAAAAAAAATAAAATAACACAATTGTATTAAATAAAGGTGTCCAGAAAATTCCATGGGGTAAAGAATAGTCTTTTCAACAAACAGTACTAGGACAACTGGATATTCCGGTACAAAAACTGAATTTAGATCCCTACCTTGCCCCCCCACCTCCAACATCTCTCCTTGTCTTCGGTAGAATGGCTTCCTTATTTAATTAACTTAACAGCATTGATCTTTAGGAAAATGCAAATCAAAGCCACAGTGAGATACCCCTTCCCCTGGGTAGCTAGAATTTAAAAGAAAAAGAACAACTATTAGTAAGGATGGAGAAATGAGAACCCTCAGGCACTGCTGGTGGGAGAATAATATGGTACAGGCCCTTGGGAAGTCGTCCAGCAGTTCTTCAAGAAGATAAACTTAATGGGGCACCCAGGCGGCTCAGTTGGCCGAATGTCATGATCTCAAGGTAGTAAGATCAAGCCCACCAGAGGCCCTGTGCTGAGCATGGATTCTGCTTAGGATTCTGATTCCGTCTCCCTCCCCCCCTTCCCCAGCCTCTGCTGGCACATCCACTCTCTGTCTCTAAAACAAAACAAAAAACAAAACAAAAACCTTAAAAAAAAGATAAACCTAGAGTCACCGTATGACCCAGCCATTCAACCTCTAAGTCTTTACGCAATAGGAACGAAAACATTTGTGCATACAAGGACGCGTAGCAGCATTATTCATAAAATAGTGTGACCAAGTAGAACATACTCAAGAACTTTGAAACAAATGCAGATTAAATTTGTAGAGGATAAATGATGTTTCCTGCAGTTTTGTTTTTAAGTAGGCAAGATCAGACGGACGCATGTACAAGAAGTTGTTTAGAAAGTAATTAAGAGGGGCGCCTGTGTGCCTCAGTGGGTTAAAGCCTCTGCCTTCGGCTCAGTTCATGATCTCGGGGTCCTGGCATTAAGCCCCACATGGGGCTCTCTGCTCGGCAGGGAGCCTGCTTCCCTCTCTGTCTCTGCCTGCCTTTCTGCCTGTTTGTGATCTCATTCTCTCAAATAAAATCTTAAAAAAAAAAAAGTAATTAAGAATAGAAAAAAAGAAATGGGACATTTGAGACTCTTGTTGACGGGGCCAGGCTATAAACTGAAGGCCAAAATGGGGGGTGGGGGTACCCACTGCTTCCACAGAGGATCCGTTTTCTTTGGGTGGGGTATGTCAAGGAGGACCTGCGTGCTGATGGCCCAGTCAGAAGCTCTGTGTGGAGGTCACGGAGATAGGGCCCAGGAGTGCGTGAGGAACTGGCAAGGTCTTCCAGCCTAGAGAGGCGCCATGAGCGGGAAGGAAGTGGTCTGGACTGGAGGCAGGAGTGGACTTGTCCCCTCAGCCATGACCTGGTGATGGCTGTGAACCCTTCGAGAGGTACCTTAATGTTTCCCCCCACTGTCTGTGGACTCTGTTCTTTATTTCAACTTGGTGGTAATTTTTCAGGACTCTAAAACTAAACAGAACTGGTTTATCTTTACAGAGGCTGTGGGGTCTCCCGATCGGATGGGGGGGCCACCAAAGTGGGGCAGGCTGGTTCGTCACGCGGAGCAGAGCAGAGGGGGTGGACGTTTACTGAATGCCCTGCAGGGGAGTGGGGGGCAGGACAGCAGAGCAGTGCTGGGGGCTGTAGCTACAGGGGAGGGTGGGGAGGGCATGGGGAGGTGTGGGGACGGATGCAGTTTTCCCTTTCTGGTACCCGTGTTCATGTGTTCGTAGCCCGTTTGTCACCTGGGCTTATGGATGTTTCCGGGTGGCTCGCCTTGGAGCCTGTCTATTCAGCCAGGGGTTGGGGGGTCACTGTGGGCCCTCCTACCTTACTCAGGGTTCCGTTGTTCCCGGAATTTGCTGTGGACGGTTTTACCAGTTGTCTGGTCCTCCCTGGCGCTTTAGGAGCCGCGGTGTCTGGTATCCAGTGAGTATTTGCAGTGACGCCAGTGACCAGGTGTCCAGGCACAAAGGTGTGCTGGGTCCGCACGTCCCTCAGCTGCAGCAGGGTCACCAGCGTGCGATTTCCGTGGCCACCACTGGCCCCTTCCCTGGAGCACGTCGGACTTAGAGCTCTGCTCTCTGTGACTTCTCGCCGCACCTTGCCCCCTGGGTCTCATGTGTTCTTAGCCTGACTTTCACTTCCTTAGCCCTGTGGTCCCTGACAGATGCACCTCAGAAGAAGCATTTTATTATCATATGATGAAACTTTCTTCTCCGGCACATCGTATATAATTTAAAAACTCTAAGTTAGCTGGGGCGCCTGGGTGGCTTAGTCAGTTAAGTGTCTGACACTTGGTTTCGGCTCAGGTCATGATCTTGGGTTGTGGGATTGAGCCCTGCATCAGGCTCTGTGCTTAGTGGAATCTGCTTCTCTACCTCTCCCGCTACCCCTCCCCCACTCAAATAATTAAATAAATCTTAAAAAAAAAAAAAACCCTCTAAGTTGGCTAACTAGAACTATAACTTCCAGTTACAGTTTATACACAATAGATGGTACAAATAGAGATTATTTAGTCTAGAAGCCTGGTTGTTGAATTACCAGATTGCCTTCAGTTTTTACCTTACTGACTAGTTTAGAAGCCCACTACAGTTATTTTCTCTCTTTCATCTCGAGTGATTGCCTGTGTGTATTCACTTATAATAACTGTCTACCCCACAGTTTTCTTACATTTTTTAAAATAGATAGCAGAGAGAATATTTGAAAGAGATGGTCTAGGGATGCCTGGGGGGCTCAGTCAGTTAAGCGTCCACCTCTTGGTTTCAGCTCAGGTTGTGATCTCAGGGTCCCGAGATCGAGCCCTGTGTCAGGCTCTGCACTCAGTGGGGAATCTACTTGAGATTCTTTCTCCTCTCCCCACCCCGACTCACACACACATGCACGTACACTTGTTCTCTCTCATAAATTAATAAATCTTTTTTTAAAAAAGAAAGAGATGGTAGCATTCTGTGATAGTAGACATGGTATTTTGAAGACCATTTATGTAAAAGGTCCGTGACATTGTGTTGCTCAACGAGGTCAACGATTTTTTGTTTGGTTTGTTTTTTTTTCTTTATTTCTTAACAGTTTGTCTTTGTGATTGATCTTCTAGGTTCTAATGCCTTCCCGTCATCCTTCTCCAGCCAGACTGGAGTTCAGCCCAGCCTCTACTGAGGAGAGCCCACTTCTCACAGTCCCCACAAGGAGCCCGGATCATGGCGCCCCAACCCGTCCCGCTAGCCTCATCCCTGCTGAGTCCACCCCGTCAGAGCAACCTGTATCTCCGACCACTGCTCCCCGGACAGGTAACTGTGGGAACAATACAGCTGGAAGAAAAGTAGCAAACCATGCTGTCGGATTACACTAGGGCAACGGTAAGGTTTGCTCGTTCCCTCCCAGCGCGTCGTCAAGCCTCTCTCCTGTGCTAGAAACAGTGCTCCACACCAGCCACGAAAACACGAACTTTGTCTTTTCCCTCAGTGATCTGTAAGGCAGCAAATGCGAGTGACAGGCGAATATCTGGTTTTCATATCCTGTGGTAAGTGCTGTGACAGGTGCGATGGGAGCGGAGGGAGACACCCCGCCTGACCTTTCAGAAGGGCCAGGAAAGCCTTTCCAGAGGCAGTGATGCTGGATAGAGCAAGCCAGCTGACATGGGGTTGGTGTGTTGTTCAGGTCAGGGCAGCGATGTGTTAAAGCAATAATGATGGTTCTAGTCGGTGAGAACCCACCGAGCGTGGGGCACTGTGACATTTTTGGGAGCGCTGTCAGGAGGTTATTCTGGCTGGAGCTGGGCATGTGAGTGAGAGGGAAGGGCAAGGTGTGAATCTGGAGTGGTAAGGGTAAGACTTTGAAAGACCTGTAATGTGTACTAAGGAATTTAGGCTTTATCGGGTAAGTGTGGACAATCTCTGAATGAGTTTAAGCAGGAAAATGAAATGATGAGATTTGTTTTCAAGAAAATAATGTGGAGTTGATTGGAGACAAGAAGATGCATTAGGACTAGAGGGGAGTGGTCGCAAGGATGGGGAGACAGAAGCAGCCCAAAGAGCTCTCATGGGGATGCAATCACTAGGATTTGGTGAGTGGCTCACTGGCAGGACCTGAGGACTCTGAGATCAGTGAGTGTGTGGGACCAGAAGCTAGATGAGCAGCAGGCCAAAGATGGAGGACCAGGCGTCATCAGCACAGAGGCGATGACTGAAGGCTTAGGGCACACGTGGGACCTTCCGGGGATGGTGGTGGGTGAGCTCGAGAGAGGCCTGGGCAGGAACTTGGAAGATGTCATTATATCAGGAGCTAGAGGGCCAGAGGAGTCTGCAGAGCTGGCTGAGTGGTCTTGCCAGAGAGGCCGGACATGAGGAGGAGGGCATGGGCTGAGGGAAGGAGAGAGACTTCCATGTAGGAAGGTGTCGTGAAAGAGCCAGGGCTCGCAGAGACCGTGGGCAGCACTGAGGAGCTCCCGTTAGAGTTACTAACGAAGGCGATACTGGAGACTTGTTTCCCAAGCCGTTCTGTGGGGATGACCCTCTCTGCTGTGTTGATTTACTTTGATCCTGAGCTAGTGTACAGAGAAAGGTGATAGCAGAAGAGAGGCTGTATGGTGTTTAGGGAGAAGGAAACCAGCCTGGGAAGTAGGATTCTTGGGTTCTCATAGGACCTGTTCAGGGAGGTGTTACAAGCTCAGAAGAAGTGATCATTTTAAAGTCCTTGGAGCCGAGCTTGGCACAGTGTAATCTGGTATGTGTGTTTGTTGAAATAAATACATTTAAATTAATTATTGGTGGATCTCTTATTGTCAGCTATTCGTATAACTTTGAGCAATTACTTGACCTTTATAGGGCTCGGTTCTCTCATCTGTAAAATGATAGGTTGGGACCAGTGTCGCCTCTGGGTCCACAGTTGCTGAATTTCAAGGCAAAGAGTTGGGAGAAAGGAGCCCAAGACACCCAGGTGGCCCCTACAGCTGGCCCAGGAAGGTACTGGAAGGACAGGGTACCGACTGTGAGGACAGGAGCAGGCTTAAGCAAGCCACCTGGCTCCCCAGCATCTCCAACGAGCTGAGATGTCTTGAGCACTCTGCTTTGGTTTCTTCTGTTTTTTAAGCAAAACTCTGCTTTTCTCTGGGTAATGTCTTGACATGTCCCAACTGTATTTCACAAGCGAGACTGAAGCCAGCTGAACACAGCAGTGTTCTGCTGGTTGTAGGGAAGGAGAATGAATGTGGTCCTGAGGGCTGTTTTCACGGTAAGTGCTTTGGACGAGCATGAATGTCCCATGGCCTGAGCTAAAATCGCCTTTTTATGGAGGCTGACTGGGTTTTCTCTTGGAAAGCTTCCAAGAGCAAAGCCATCAGCGGTAATTCACGAGGCTGCTATCAGAAATGAGCAGCGTGTGACTTATGATAGAGAAACACGATTACACTCAGTTTTTAAATAAAAATAGCACATACTAGGGAGTCAAGAAGTGCTGACGGTAAGTGAGAAAAGAGAGTCAACCCACAAAGGACCCTTGTTACCCAACACTGTGCTCAGTCAACCCAAATCACTTTCTTCACCTTGTCAATGCCCATGGATGAATGAAAATTTACGAAATCTGGCCTGCAATGGAATATAGGTCATGGTATGGTTACTAGCCAGAGGAAGGATGGATGTGTCTTAGATAAAATCAGAGAGAGAACGATTACAAAAATATGTTCTGTTATCTTATCTAAAAAAAAAATCTAGGGGCACCTGGGTGGCTCAGTGGGTTAAGCATCTGTCTTCGGCTCAGGTCATGATCTCAGCGTCCTGGGATGTAGCCCCGGGTCAGGCTGCCTTCTCAGTGGGGAGCCTGCTACTCCCTCTGCCTCTCCTCTCTGTCTCTCATGAATAAATAAAATCTTTAAAAAATGAGTAAGTAAGTAACACATCTGTCGTTGGGCAGTAATATAACATCATTATTGTGCATAAAGGACTGTACTGTTTCCAATCAACTTGCAGTGAAAGAACTCTTGGTGTGGGCTGGCGAGAATCGAATTGTGACTTTGCCGGAGCGCAAGGTGGAACTGAAGGCTTCTGTCGTGCCCGCACCGCCTGCAGGTGAGAGCTTGCCTCCCCTCGGTGACAGCGGGGGGCCGGGTAGCCTGGCGCCCTCTGCCCGTCTTCGAGGGTTACTCACAGCAATTATTCTCACCAATTTTCACCTTGGGAGGGGCATTTCTTTCAGATCTTTAGGTGTATTAAGCTGATCCATCCAGAGTTTGTTAGGTTATGTGGGTTTGTACTATTTATAACATTTTGAACTTGTTAAGCCGCCTTTTAAAAGTCCTTTTTATCACTATACAACCTAACCTTCGATGGAAATTTTTTTGGAAGGTATCCTTTACTGAGGACATAAAATAACAGGAAGGTGGCAAAAGGCAAGCAGCTGGAGAGAGCATGACCCTTATCGAGGGAATTGGCAATTCAGAGACTGAATAAATCAGTGAGTCTTGTCAAGGAACCTGGAGAGGAATGTGCTTACTTCGCAGGACACAGATGTGGCAGGGGCTGCTGCAGGGCAGGCTTGTGCTCTGACTCTGAAACTCTGTTTCCTTTCATGTAAAATGGAAATAATAAGAACTAGTTCAGAGAGGGTTGTTCTGTGGGTCAAATAGGAAGATATGTCAAAACATAATTTAACCCACAAAGTACTACCTATGTATTTAAAAAATGCAAAACTTATAACACATCAGAGCTGAAAAGACTTGGTAACAGGTGGTCCATGTGCCTGTTAATGTTGAGGAAATGGAGGCCCACTGTTTGCTCATATTATTGTACTAAACAAAGACCCCCTTAGCTGTGGTACTGAGACTAGGAAACAACCTTGTTACTGAGAACCGTTTGCCCTGAGAAAATGGCAGTGGATTGCCGTCCAGGTACCATGTAATTGTGAAAGTGTATTGCGCAAGTGTATCTGCCAAAGTGCTGAGGGCTTGGAAATTTGGCACACCGTCTGCTTGCCAGGCGGTGAACCTTTGGAGTGGTGCTGCCCAGAGCAGTGCCATTTCTTAATTTGGCCAAAGGTGCCCAAAGGTCTGGTGGAGGACTGGCCTTTATCCATGGGATTCTTGAGCAGCTCTGCCTGGCTGGCCGCGGCACTGGTACCATCCAGGGCGGCATCCTGGGCAGCTGACTGAATGCTGTTCCCCGAGACCCAGCTGCCCTTCGCTTTTCTTTTGGGTAGACAGTGGTCAGTTACTGCCGATGGGAGATGGCCAGTCTTCCCTTCTATCCTCTTGCCATCTCAGACCACACTTTCCTTGCTGGACAGAAAGGAAGTTACTGGTGGCAAGTTGTTTGCACGATCAGGTTTTCTTCTTCTGGGGTCTTCGGTGGGAAGCTTATGGGACTCTTACTGAATGCTGACATTCCCCGCTTCACTTTCTGGAAGTCAGTGATCTGATGGCCTCTCTTGTTGTGACTCGGAGAAGTGTTAGCCATCTCCTGACTTGTCCTTAGATCACCCGCACTCCTTTCTGATTTCTTAGTCTATGTCAACTCAGTAACACAAGGCCCTTTGAGGCCCTCGTTGGCCTCCCCTGGGCCTGGGCCAGTGATGGTTGCAGGGTGGGCAGCAGCCGTATTCCAAGGGGTCGATGGCAGAGCTTGTCAGCAAAGTCGAACAGGAGGCATTCTTGTAATTTGAGTTGTTTTCTGATAAAGACTCAAAAGCAAGTTCTGGCAGTTCCAAAGCCTTCCTTCCATAGAATGTTGTGTTCAGTTTTGTTGGCAGACTCCTTGTCCTTTCCAGGTGCATCTGGTAAAGTAAACTTGTTTTAAGGACCCACAAATGGAGGCTGCCCAGTGGCTGAGGCCATCACAAATCTAACCCTAAGTCAGCCCGCACTTACGGAAACATCTGTCGTGGACACCTAACATATGCCAGTCGCGGTCAACAGCTTTAGTGAGCCTACCTGACCCTAGAAAATAGTTCCTGCTAGCCTTATAAGGAATCCTCCGTCTCCTAGCCAGTCATGCCCTCTTCTTTTGTTGCCTCTTCTAATACCTGCAGGAGCAGGAAAATTTTCCTTCCAGCCTTCTAGATTCTTTGGCTGCTCTAATAATCAAATTGACACAAGGCAAATCAACAGGAGAAAAACTAATTTCATATGTGTGGGAGCCCCACAAAAATATGAGAATATGAGACCCAAAAGCAAAGCCAGGTAGTTAAGGCTTATATATAACATCCTGAGTTAAGGAAGAGAGGAGCAGTTTAGGGATACACAGTAGAGAAAGGCCATTGACAGGAAAGAAGAGAATGTTTGAAAAACAAAGTTTGTGCTGTTTTACAGATAAGTTTCTTAGGTAAAAAGCTGTCTCTAGTAATAGCTCTCTTCCTGGAAGCGGCTGCCTTTCCAAAGTAGATGTAGGCAGTTGAGGGGGAGGTATAGACCTTTTCCTGAATCTTCTGGGCATTGATTACCTTTAGCTCAAAGTCTTCACGCCGAAATGGAATGCTTTGGGATGACCAGTTCTCCCCTTCACACTCTCCAGGCTCACTTTGCCCACAGCCCTCGGGAAGAGTGTCCAGTGATGGCGAGGCACAGCATGTCCCCAACCCGTGGATTGTTTTCCCTCAGACTCACTTTGGACTTGTTCTAGCTTTGTCATTTGAACCTCTCGTGTCCCCTAGATTACCACATCAGTCCTGAATAATGGCCAGGAAGCCTGGGTTGGGGTATGTCCCACTCTTTGTTATTCCTCCCCCTTCCTCCTACACTCCAAAATTTCTAAATGTTCTGGGTTGCTTCTAGAACGGATGGTGCAAGGAGGGGAAGCAAGTCTCCTAAAAGGCCGGGTCTATGGGTAAAAGGGGAGGGAACTAAGGTGTGGGTGGGAAAAGAATGGTTTTCAGCGCAACTACAGTCTCCTTGATGAGAACACAGCAACCTGCACCACAGCAAGGTTCCGACACACTCATGAGGAAGCCTCTACCCAGGTGCGCTTACTCCCGGAAGCCTTTGATGTACTCGAAATAGCAAGTACTTGTGTCACTAGCCTCTTGCTCAACCATACACCCCAACAGTTAAAACCAGAAGTAGAGAAGACCCCTTAACTGATGCTCTACCTGAGACCCATTGTTCTTATTTCTGAGACATTGACTAAGATGTTTTGCAGTGACTGGAACATTCCAGCCACCAGGCCAGAAAAGCTCTAAGTGATGTAATGCCTAGAAGTCCCTACTCCACACCCACACGTTCCCTTTCCTACTCATGATCGTGTGCTGAACATCTGCCCACCCCTGTCTATGACCACACGCTGTCTGCTCTCTTGGAAATACCCCCTGAAGCTCTCGCCCCGTGAAGAGGCATCTCTTCTGCTGGTGGAGAGGTCAGGTGGTAAGGCCTAAGCCTGCCACCTCCACCTGCTGCCAGCACCCAAAGCAAACCTCTTCCATTCTCTTTTCCAAACCTTTCTCTCCTGACTGGCTTCTCTTGCGGTAAGTTTACCTGAGTTTGTTCAGCAGCCTTGTTGGGAAGCTCAGCCAGGAGCTCTGCTTTCTATTTGTTCAGCATCCTTGAGATTGCCTGGGAGGCGACAGTGGAAGCAGGACAGCAGGCCTTATCCATTTTTTTCCCGAGTTAGTGATGACCAGTAACGCTAGTACTGGTTTGTCAGCCTTGGGCAAATCAGTGAACTTTTTTTTTTTTCCTTTTTTGAGATTTTACTCATTTATTTGACAGAGAGAACACAAGCAGGGGGAGGGGCAAAGGGAGAGGAAGAAGCAGCCTCCCTGCTCAGGGAGCCTGACAGGGGACTCAATCCCAGGACCCTGAGAACATGACCTGAGCCAAATTCAGACTCTTAACCAACTGAGCCACCCACGCTCCCCTCAGTGAACTTTTCTAAGCTTCAATTTCAACCTTTTTTTTTTTTTTTCAGAGACGGAGGTGGGGGGAAGGGCAGAGGGAGAAGGAGAAAGAAAATCTCAAGCAGACTCCGTGCCCAGTGTGAAGCTTATCATGGGGTTTGATCTCATGACCCTGAGATCATGACCTAAGCCAAAATCAAGAGTTGGATGCTTAACTGACTGAGCTACCCAGGCGCCCCTCATCATTTTTTTTCAAAGATTTTATTTATTTATTTGTCAGAGAGAGAGAGAACACGCACGAGAGTGCACAAGTAGGGGGAACAGCAGGCAGAGGAGGAAGCAGGCTCCCCACTGAGCAAGAACCCCAATGCAGGGCTCGATCCCAGCATCCTGGGATCATGACCTGAGCCAAAGGCAGAAGCTTAACTGACTGAGCCACCCAAGCATCGAAACCCCTCATTATTTTTAAAACAGAGATAATAATACTGCCTGGGTTGTTATGAAGATCACACTGAAGAAAGTGCCAGACAAAAAGTGCCAATATTACTACATTTTTTTTGACACTATGATGGTAGTGATTATAAGAGGTCTTATTATTTTAAATACCACTAGGGAAGAAGAAAATTCTGTCAGTTACCCACAGCACATCATTTTCTTGTCAGAAAATTTCTTCATATTGAAACAGATTTATTTGGACAGATTTTTATAATAAATCATCCTTGTACATTGGTAAAAAGGAACTATAAGTGAATATAAATTAAGGTATTCTTAAATTTCCCTACAGTTTTGATCTACTGCTACTGAATCATTTGTTAAGGCGGTTAGTGCTATCAGAGTTTTTCCCACATAACATTGCCTGTGTATCATCGTGAGCACTGGGGATGCAATATTTCTTAGAAGAGTGCTTCATACTGTCTTTCTTCCAAGCCAAGATTACCAGTTCTGCATAATTAATATGTACGCACAAGCACTGGCGTCTATTCCTGCCCAGTGCTTGGCCAACTTAAGACATCCTGATTCCAGGGGTACTACAAGTATGAAAATATGTAACTGTTAGAATTGACAAAATATAGTACTGTCACTGATTTCGTCTTATTTCATAGGTTTGGGTTTGTAAGGGCAGCAAGTGTTGGGGACAAAAAATTTCCTCTGCCATTTAAGGTCCTTCTAGCTGGACTAAGAGTCAGATTGTCAGGAAGCAGATTAACAAGAGGAAATCAAATTTAATAGTGTACATATGGGGAATCCACACAGGCATGGAAATTCCAAAGACAGGCAGCATGAGGCTTATATGATGAGCTAAAGAGAGGGGAAGGGATCTGAGAATACCAAAGGAGAAAGACCACTAGCAGAAAGGTGAAAGGTGGTGTTTGGAAACCACAGGCAGGCGCCCTATAATGTAGAGAATTTCTTAGGTAAAGAGCAATCTTTGTTAATAACTCTCTTCCTGGGGTGCCTGGTGGCTCCGTTGTTGAGTATCTTGATTTCAGCTCAGGTCATGATCTCAGGGTTGTGGGATTAAACCCCACATCAGGCTCTGTGCTCACTGGGGAGTCTGCGTGAGGTTCTCTCCCTCTCTCTCTGCCCCTTCCCCTGCTCACACACATGTGTGTTTGTGTACATGTGTTTGCTCTCTTTCTCTCCCAAATAAATCAGTAAATCTTAAGAAAAAAAAAAATAGCTGTCTTCCTGGTACAAGTAGGCAGTTGAGAGGAGATAGAGTTTCTCCTGAATCTGCTGGGTTTGGATTGCTTTTAACTCAAAACAGTGTTCATGCACAAGTGGCCCATTTTGGGGCTGCCTGCCCTTGGACCCTACAAAAGCGTGAAAGCCTCTGCCTCATCCCAGGAATTGTCCTTTCTGTTTGCACAAACTTAGAGTGGACGGTTTGCCTGGAATATGACCCTGAGGTGTTAACAGGATAGGCTTCCCAGTGAGATGGATAAGTCATAGAAATTATCTTGTGTGTTTCCTCATTTACCTATTCTTTTTCTTTTTTCTCATTTACTTATTCTTCTTCCTGTCTGCTTTCTGATTTTCCTTTGAAGTTCTTGAGTTCAAATCTAGTTCCTAAGAAACATCAAAGGAAGCCTGCACCAGAGGCCTTCCAGGGTCTCTTTGGAAGCTGGACTCCATCCACTGTGTGAGACGGAATGGCACCCCCCACCAGTGTGCTCTCCTCTTTACTGCTGCTGGCCACTGTTGCAGGTAGGAAACCCTCACCCTGGAGACCCTAGCATCACACATGAGCTTCCTGTCTTTGGCTTAAACAACTCAGATCAGAAACAAAACCTAGGGGATGAACCTAGGGGAAGGGAAAGAGGAATAAAATAAGACGAAATCAGAGAAAGAGACAAACCATAAGAGACTCTTAATCATAGGAAACAAACTGAGGGTTGCTGGAGGGATTGGGGGTGGTGGGATGGAGTAACTGGGTGATGGGCATGAAGGAAGACACATGATGTAATGAGCACTGGGTGTTAAGTAAGACGGATGAATCACTGACCTCTACTTCAGAAAGTAATAAACAACGAAACAACTCAGATCAACCTGAAATGAAGGTACTATGTGTTTGCTTCCCAGCAGAATTATTTTACATGTAAAAGGCATAAAGTCCAACCTCATGCGCCAGTGGTTTTCTGGAAATGGGAATTTAAATAGTTTTTTATTGTCATGATGATTTTTTTTAAAGATTTTATTTATTTATTTGACAGAGATCACAAGTAGGCAGAGAGACAGGCAGAGAGAGAGGAGGAAGCAGGCTCTCTGCTCAGCAGGGACTCCATCCCAGGACCCCGGGATCATGATCTGAGCTAAAGGCAGAGGCTTTAACCCACTGAGCCACGCAGGCACACCTGTCATGACGATTTTTGAAAACATAAGGTCACAGTTTGTATATACTAGGAAAACTTTATATATTTATTTAAAATAATTGCATAATAGATCTTTTTGGAAAGCAAATGACCACACTCTTTTATCATAAATCTTTATTTTCATATATTCTGCTCTGCTTGCTCAGTGTGGAAATACCCATGACAGGAAATCACTGGTGAGCTGCAGTGCTGGTGATTGGTGTCCTGGCTTGGCCCGTTTGAATTTACCGAGGACTGAGAGTAGAGATAGGGCCGGGGAACCTAAGTTTGTGCGCGGGGATTATCCAAGTGTGGTGAAGCCATAATGAGGTTTACCTATGTTAAAACAGAAATTCAACTGAGTAAATTTAAAGATCTAATTAGCTTTATTCAAGGATTCGTGACCTGGGCAGCATTCCGTTGAGAAGGTAGAAGGGAGCTTGAAGGAGCTGTACAAAATGGAATGATTTTACAGGGAGAAGTAGGCAAGGTCACTTTTTCTCAGGGGAAGTCAGAGTCTTACCATGCAGATGACTTCAGGTGTAGGATCTACACTGTCCAGACTGAGAAGTTTCAGTTGCATTCGTGGAAGAGGCAGAATCTGCAGTTACAAATAGGTCATCTCAGTAGAGCTTAACATAAGTGATTCCATTTTGGGCCTGTTTCTTTTTAACACGGAGAGTGATCTTTGTTAAAATGCAGTTTCCTCTGCTTTAGACCTACGGAACCAGAACACCTAGCAGGTGTGGCTCAGGGGTCCGAAGCAGCTACACCATTAGAAGCACTGTTGTAGAGCATGGAGGGGCCCCCTCAGAAAACCCTGCCACTGGAGAAGCCCTGTCATTCCCCCAGAGATTACTAATATTTGAACACTTTTTTTTCCCCTCCCAAATCCCCACTTTTTCATTCCTTTCTGTCTTTTTCTTGTAATTTTTCCATTAATTTAAAATTCCTGAATTACTTTATTAGTAACATTATGTGCAGTTTGCCTGTCTTCCCTCTCTGTCCACTCTACCTTTAACAAAATGCTAACCAACGATTTTACCGATTTGTCAGCAATCATGGAGTGACTATGATCCTAGATTGGGCGGGGACAATGGTAGAGGGTATGAACATGGGTGAGTCTTCTCTGGTCTCTTCAAGAGCTTTCGTGGAGTGAGTCTGAGAGAGTCTGAAGTAATTACGGCCACTTGGCCCAAGAGAAGCATGGTTTAGTTGTTAGAAACCCTCTCAGACTTCTTCATTGAGCACTAAGACCTCTGCGTTAGGTACTTCTGTCCATACAGATCATTCAGGTGATGTTTTTGCAAAACAAAGGGATTATGAACTCCCAGAAGTGTATGGCAGTTTCCACCTGATTGAAAACTGCTTTAAGCTCTTCCAAGGCTTCTGCCATGGCCAGTTCTCTGTAGACACTGAAACAGTTTGCTTGCTTTAGGAGCAAAGCCTGCCTTCTGGATAGTGGTTTCTGACACAGTTTTATAAGTAGCTTTAGAGCTGCCTGGTGGCCAACACCAGAAATGAAACAAGGCCATTTCTGTGGCTCACACTGTCCAAAAGAAGATGACCTCACAATTTTTCCAGGGAAATGAAGCACATCTTACCATGTGTGTTTGAAAGAAGTTTCTAGCGTGGGTCTTCATTTAAAGGCCACTCAGAGATGTAGTGGTATCTTTACAAATAAAGGCAGTATTTTTGAGAGTATAGGTGGGAGTCAGAGATTAACTGTCTGCTGTACACCCTTCATCACTTGGTTTTAATTAGAGATTTTTTTTTTATGTTCAGCTGGAGGTCTTTTTTCCCTCTCTATATCTGATATTAAGCTTTTTGTTAGAAAATAAAAGCTGAAACTACTAAATAGATTTGCATTTGAGAAAATATCCTTCCAGTTGAATTAAAATAATTCCTTGCTAGCTTATTCATTTGGAAAGATGCATATCTATTACATCTAATTCCTCTTAAATTGGACCAATTAGACTTTCCTATAGAGCCAGTGTTTGACACTGACCAATTCTTAAAAGTGTATAATGATGCTCATGTGTACACAGGTAAAAATAAAAGGGACTCCATTTCTCTTCCCTCCAGTTAGAAGTGCTCTCTGATTGTCACTATGAGGAAAGTAACAGTAGTTTAAAAAATTGTCAGTGACGAGCCCTCACAAGTAAAGAGACCTCTACCAACAAAGAATAAAAGTGACTTTGCCTTTGGCTTTCGGGGAATGAGAGACTGCTGCAGAAGGTTCTGAAAGTGCCACTTGCTGTCACTGTGTCTCATGGGCCTGCACCACTGCATCTGCAGAACACAGCTGGGGTGGGGGATAGCATTGCCCTCACACTTGCCCAGTTTGCTGACTGGAAATATTTGTAGCTATTTAGAATCTGATTAGAGCTAGTTGCTGCAGAGGTGCCTGCATGGCTCAGTCGGTTAAGCAGCTGTTTTCAGCTCAGGTCATGATCCTGGTCTCAGGGTCCTGGGATCGAGCCCCACTTCTTTGTCTCCCTCTGCTGCTCCTCCTGCTTGTGCTCTCTCACTTTCTCTCTCTGCTAAATAAAAGTCTTTAAAAGTAAACCCAGTGATGGGTATTAAGGAGGGCAGGTATTGCATGGAGCACTGGGCGTTATATGTAAATAATGAATCATGGAACACAACATCAAAAACTAATGATGTACTATATGGTGACTAACATAATAAAAAATAATAATTATTTAAAAATTCTAGAGGGGGAGCAAAAAAAGAAAACCAAAAGACTAGTTGTTACAGACCTGTACTGAGGACAAGTTTTTCTCTCCTTTGATATTTCCCTGTCAGTTGAGCTATCATCAGAATAACCTGTGAGATTAAAAAAAAAAAGAATCAGGGGCATCTGGGTGGCTCAGTCATTAAGCACCTGGCTTCAGCTCAGGTCATGATCCCAGAGTCCTGGGATCGAGCCCCACGTGGGGTGGGCTCCCTGCTCAGCTGGAAGCCTGCTTCTGCCTCTCCCACTCCCCCTGCTTGTACTCCCTCTCTTGCTGTGTCTCTCTCTGTCAAATAAAGAAATAAAATCCTTTAAAGAAATCAGTTTAACAACAGCAATAATGTGATATCCCTAAACTAAACCTTTATAACTGAATTTTGGGTGAGGAGCAAAATATTATAAATAATAGAAAAGCAGCAACAGATGGAAAAGGATTCTTCTGGGCCCCAGTGAGAGAACATGGAGAGAGAGAGGATGGAGCATCCAGTGGGCAGGTGGGTGAGTGTCAGGACAGGTACGGGGTGGAGGGGCGGGACAGGAGGAGGACGCGTGGATGGGTGTGGCAATGAGGGGGGTACTGTGAGGTACAGCAGGGGAATTTCTGCTGGAAATGCTGGTTGTTTATGGGCTGGCCAGACACGACTTGGCTCCTTTCCTCATCAGAGACTGTGTCCTTTGCAGGTTGTGCCTGTGGCCCCGTGCAGCGAGGGGAGGACATTCGCCAATGCCGTCATTTCACCAAACCTGGAAACTACCCGAATCGCATGGGTGCCTCAGACCAGCCCCGTGGCGGACTGCACGGCCGCGTGCTGTGACCTGGCCCTCTGTGACCTGGCCTGGTGGTTTGAGGGCCGCTGCTACCTGGTGAGCTGCCCGCGCTCCGAGAGCTGCGAGCCCAGGGAGATGGGCTCCGTCAGGTCCTACCTCACCTTCGTGGGCAGGCCGGCCCGCAGGCCCTGGCAGCTCCTCCGCTACAGGGAGATGGTGCTCCGCAGGAGGTCCCCCTCGGGACTCTGGGGGGACTCTCCTGAGGGTCTCAGAAAGGACTTGTCTCCTCTGGGCCCCGCTCTCCGCCTGAGAAGGGCGTCGGAGTACTCCGATGACTACAGGGACCCTGAGCAAGACCACTTCCAGCCCCTCAGCAAGCAGGAGCCCAGAGGCAGTGCCGAGTACACCGACTGGGGCCTGTTCCCGGGTGGCCCCTCTGCTGGAGACGGCCTGCCCGGGGCCGCCGAGGAGCAGGAGGACCCTGAGTGGGGCCCAGAGGAGATGTCGGAGTACTCCGATGACTACAGGGACCCTGAGCAGGACCCCTTCCAGCCCCTCAGCAAGCAGGAGCCCAGAGGCAGTGACGAGTACATGGACTGGGGCCTGTTCCCGGGCAGCCCCTCTGCTGGAGACGGCCTGCCCGGGGCCGCCCAGGAGCAGAAGGATCCTGTGCTCCATCCGCTGAATGGGTCAGCACGGACCCCGGCCCCAAAACGATCCTCGGAGAGCAGGACGTCGCTGCCCTGGGTGACAGCTCCACCTTCCAGAGAGGCCTTGGGAAGGGAGACTGTTGGGCTCCAGGACGCATCTAGCAGTGGCTCTGGGGAAGAGGTGGGCTGGGTAGCTCAGGGTGGGCGGTGCATGGAGGGGCTGTGCGGGCGGGAGGCCGGGGGCTGGACACATCAGAATGTAACCCTCACAGCCTCCGGGAGCCAGACGCATCTTGTTCCTCTGCTGCGCCTTCGGGACCAGAGTGTGAAAAAGAAACACATTTCTGCCCTCACAAGCCAGTCATCTCATGATGATGACTCGGCACTTCTCCCGTGGGATGCCTCTCCCAGTATCCCCAGGGAATAAGGATCTACAGACGTCCCAGCAGCCGGTCTGTAGACACGGCACACTTCCCCAGAGAAAACTCCCAGGCTCCAAGTGCAGTCATCAGGGCCCCTTCCCCAAACCAGGGCTTAATACCCAGCCTGACTGCGGTTAACCTTCCCCAGGGACGCAGTCTCAGTCCGTCCTTCTCCAACTTCCCAGCCTGCACCAGTGAGGTAAGCCCCTAATGAGATCCTCTGGTTCTCCAAAGGGAGGGGACCTTCCCTGAAATAATCCCTTTTTGTTGTTGTTTACAATTGCCTTGTCCTGCATTTAAAAACTTATCCTTCCTGTAACCCTTTAGAGCTCCTTACTATTGCTAGATAGGGCGCTGCCCAATTGATGAATCATTCAGTAAGCCCAGTTAGATCTCAAAAACCCTTGGTTGAATTATTGTGTTTTTTGTTTTTTTTTTTAAGATCTTATTTTTAACCAATCTTTTCACCTAATGTGGGGCTTGAACTCACAACCCTGAGATCAAGAGTCACATGCTCCACTGCTGAGCCAGCTGGAAACCTGGAATTGTTAATTAACAGATTTGGCGGCAGTCACAGGGTTGGGGGCCCAAGGTGCCCTGCTGACGGCATTCAGGGACCATGAGAAACACAGCCATGGCACTTGTGGGCCCACGGCACTCGTGGACCCCTTCCTTTCTCAGTTCTCTTTCTTGCCTTTCCCCAGGGCCTCAGGAGACCCTCCCTAGGTCTGGACTCGGCTCTCCCGGTGTTACGCTCCCGGTCTCACTTGCTTTCTGAAGCTCTCCGTCTGTTTGGAATCATTAGCCACACTGAGAACTGATGTGATCGGTGAGGTCCCAGAGCAAACCATCAAGACAGAATTCTTGCGTGCTCGCTTCGGCAGCACGTATACTAAAATTGGAACGATACAGAGAAGATTAGCATGGCCCCTGCGCAAGGATGACACGCAAATTCGTGAAGCGTTCCATAAAAAAAAAAAAAAAAAGACAGAATTCTTGAGATATTTTCAGTGCAAAAGAGGTGGTTTTATCCAGGCTCTGGGACAGGACCCTTGGGCAGAAGGAGCTGCACTGGGATTGTGAAGAGCCATTGGTAATAGACTTTGAAGTTGAAGGAGTAGAGACAAAGGAAGTTTTCCAAAGGATTGGAAGGGGGTTGTGTTGGTAAGAGTTTGCCGTTGGCAGAGGCGTCTGTGACTTCGGGGCTGTAGTCCTTCCACGCGAGCAGCAGCTGTGCCCTGCGCACCCAGCGCTCCCGAATGTGGAGATTCCCTCTTTCAGCCAGGCTGCGTCCGCTCAGAGCAAGACGAGCATGCGCACGCCTTACTCGAGCCTCAGTGAGCAGGTGACAGTGCAGCGCCCCAGCCAAGAGAAGTCCTGGGCGCAATTCCAGCATCTCCCAATGTGGAACCCGGGCTGGGGAAGGGGTGCGACCGGCAGACCTCAGCTCATGGGGGCTATAGCTGCCCCTGGGCCCGAACCAGGGTAAGGGCTCCAGTCAAATGGGGGGCTGTGGTCCAGATGGCCAGCAGTTCCTGGTGTGCAGGACAGAGGCAAAAGGAAATTCAGATAAAATTCAATGTCCTTACCTCTTGCAGCCCCCTGACGAATACTGGAGGCGGGCAGAGTGTGACATTCCTCCAGGAAACTCCCAGCTGTCTTCAGGCTAGTGCTAGAGTCAAAAACCACCTTAGCTTCAGGCTAGGCTGGCCTCCAGGACCCTGGGAGTCTTCTTTAAGTTCTGACAATCCTTTGGAAAACTTCCTTTGTCTCTACTCCCCCAACAATTAATGAGTTAATCAGTTATAATTGTTTTACAAGCGAGTCCACTGAACCCCAGATTCATAGATCTAGAACATTGAAATAAATATGCAAATGGAGGTAGAACTGTTTTTTTTTTTTTTTAAAGATTTTATTTATTCATTTGACAGAGAGAGAGATCATAAGTAGGCAGAGAGGAAGGCAGAGAGAGAGCAGGGGAAGCAGGCTCCCTGCCGAGCAGAAAACCCGATGTGGGGCCTGATCCCAGGACCCTGAGATCATGACCCCAGCTGAAGGCAGAGGCTTTACCCACTGAGCCACCCAGGCGCCCCAGAACTGGTTTTTCTAGGAGAAAGTCTACATGTCTATAGACAAGAGTTATTTTGCAGTATTATCAGTTACCTACAACTAGTAAAGTTGTACAATAGCTCAAATACAAGAAAGTCTAGAACCAGAGAACTGGGAGAACCTATAGACAGTAGTTTATTTTACACTGAAATACAAATTTTGCCCTACATTCTAATTAAGTTTTTTTGAACTGAAGGGAGTTGTAAATAATCCTTGAATTCGTGTTGATAAACATTAGATCTGCAGCATAAGAAATATAATTTTATTCTCCTAAAGTAAAAAGCTTGGAATTAATGACAAAAACAAAGATTTCTCTCACCAAAAAAGTATTTAAAATAACACAATTGGGGGCGCCTGGGTGGCTCAGTGGGTTAAGCCTCTGCCTTCGGCTCGGGTCATGATCTCAGGGTCCTGGGATCGAGCCCCACATCGGGTTCCCTGCTTAGTGGGGAGCCTGCTTCCCCCCCTCTCTCTGCCTGCCTCTCTGCCTACTTGTGATCTCTCTCTGCCAAATAGATAAATTAAATCTTTAAAAAAAAATAAAAAAAAATAAAATAACACAATTGTATTAAATAAAGGTGTCCAGAAAATTCCATGGGGTAAAGAATAGTCTTTTCAACAAACAGTACTAGGACAACTGGATGTGTGTGGCTCACAGCCCTTGGGCCCCTTTGTCACAGCCCCTGCCCCGTGCTCACCTTGCAGTCACCTGTGTCCCGGCTGTCCATGGAGACTTCTTCAGGGCCTAGCTGTTTGATCTGGAAGTAAAGCAATTCTTAGAGAATCTCCTTTTGATGAGGTATATGTGATGAACAACGGGAAAATCACTTAAACAAACAGAAGAATGGTTGCCTTCGTCTAGGGTGGGCAGTGCTTGTTCCTTCAGTCGGACATCATTCCTTCTCTTCCGTGTGAGAGGGGCCGCGTCTGACTCCGGGCGTCTGTGCACATGAGAGTGGATGAAAACATTCCCTGTGTTTGACAGTATGTTAATATAGACAGATGCAGATCTATGACCGTGTACCACAAGATATGTTCGGTCTCAGTGTACCCGGTCTTTCTATTCATGTACATTTAACCACAAAGCTACTAACACACCCTGTGGCATCCAGAGTAGTTGCGTTGGTTGGTGGGAGAAGGGTACCTGTCCGTCCGCTGCTGGGGCTGCTCCGCTTCGCAGTCTGCAGACACACAGAAGTCACACTGACGTGATCATCTGCACCCATTCAGATATAAATAGCTTCCTTACATTTATTTCCTCCTTACAGCATGGAAACAAAGCGTAGTTTAGATGAAAATATTTACATGAGGAAACGTAGCACGTTTTGATTTCTCTAACGCCGGACGGTTTAGGTACAGGAAACTGGGATGATTAATCTGTCACTTGAACTAGTTTGTTCTTTAACTGAGTTAGATGGAGCTGGGTCCCTTTCAGCTCTGTCTCTGTGACTCTATGTAACACTTTTTTTTGCTCTCTTCTAAAGCAGAAAAGGGAAGTTTTCTTGTAGGATATTCCTTTTCTGTGGATTTACACTTTAATGATGTCGGTAGGAAAGGTGTATTATATTTATATGTAAGCATCTCTTAATTCTTTTTTTTTTTTCTTAAAGATTTTATTTATCTGTTTGACAGAGAGAGATCACAAGCAGGCAGGTAGAGAGAGAGGGGGAAGCAGGCTCCCTGCTGAGCAGAGAGCCCGATTCGGGACTCAATCCCGGGACCCTGAGATCATGACCTGAGCCGAAGGTAGGGGCTTTACCCACTGTGCCACCCAGGCGCCCCACATCTCTTAATTCTTTATCAGTCTGTCAGTTCAGATACCTTTGGAAAATGCTAGAAAGTTATCACATGCATTGTTGAGATGAGTAGAAGTAGCATTTCAATGTGGTACATCTGCTTGACTCCTGTTCTTAAAAAAGCAAGAACACCTGGCACTGTGGTTTTTTTGTTTTTTTTGTTTTTTTGTTTTAGTTCACAACTGAGTGAAAACAGCCTCACTCAAATCTGATGGAAATTCAGGAGGAATATAGTGATAACAGTTTAGGGAGAAGAAGAAGTCCTCCTGCTAGCACATAAGACATATCGATTGAAATCTATGTAATTAAATAATTTCATGCAAAAACAAATTTAAGCATGACGTTGATAAATTACAAAATTTATGTTTAACTGTTGTGGCATTTCATTCTAGCCTTCACTTATTTTTTAAATTATTTTTATTAACATACAGTGTATTACTAGCCCCAGGGGTACAGGTCTGTGATTGATCAGTCTTGCACAGTTCACAGCACTCACCATAGCACATACCCTCCCCAGTGTCCATCAGCCAGCCACCCTGTCCCTAGCCCCCCACCCCCCAGCAACCCACAGTGTGTTTCGTGAGATTAAGAGTCTCTTATGGTTTGTCTCCCTCCTGATCCCATCTTGTTTCATTTTTTCCTTCCCTATCCCCCACATCCCCCTGCCCTGCCTCTCAAATTCCTCATATCAGAGAGATCATATGATTAGCCTTCACTTATTTTTAAATCTTTCTAGAAAGTACAGATGACACTAAAATCGTGAGTTATCGCTGGGAAGAAATTAGTGGCCCCTCCCGAGAGAAGAAGACCCCAGCTGACTCCCCTGTCTTCCATCTGTCTAACCTCATCCCTGGAAACTACACTTTCAGGCAAGTGGTTTCCCTACCTTTGCTGTGCTTTCCAAACTTGTGTTGTGGCTCTTTGCTTAAACTGATGCCTCTGCCCTACGCTGGGCTTCTTTTTGTTGTGACCAAGAGGTCAAGGCCATTACGTTTCCTTGGGAGTTTTGGTTGACAACCACTTTCGACTGACATACTCATGGATGATTCTGGATTGGAAGTGCCTGTTTGTTGGAAACATTTGGTTTTGGTTGTCAGGAATGTCCACGGATGGCATCTTTTGCTGTGTTGTTATGTGACAGAAATTGTGTATCTTCAGAGTGAAGCAGGGTTGTATGATTTATGTGTTTCTTAATCTTTTTCTTTTCATAACTTTTAAAGATACAACTGAAGTGTAATAAAATGTGCATGCTTAAGGTATAACACTTGATGAGTTTTGACATGGGAATCTCCGGAAAACCATCACAATCAAGATAAGAAACATGCCCCTCAACCCGGAAGTCTCCTCACGCCCCTTGGGTTTCTGTCTCTCTCTCCACTCTCTCCTTGGGCAACCCCGAACTGTTTTCTGCCAGTTTAAATTATTTTGTACTGTCTAGAATTTTACATAAATGGAATCATGTGATATGTACTCCTTTTTACCCGTGTTGTCTTCCATTCTGCAAATGGTTTCGATTCATTCGTGTTGTCTCTATCGAGTCTGTTCCTTTTTATTGCTGAGTACTATTCCAAATCTGTGGGTGCCACAATTTATTTATCCTTCCATCCAGTATGGACATCTGGGCTGTTTGCAGCTTTGAACTACTACAAATAAAGCTGCCACTGACCTTTATTTTAAGTCTTCACATAGACAGATATTTTCATTTTTGTGGGGTAAATTGTGGAGTAGTGAGAAGGTCCGGTTCTAAGGTAAGTTTGTGTTTAACATTTTAAGAAATTGCCAAACTCTTTCCCGAGGTGGGCGCACCAAAGTACATTCCCACCTTCAGTATATGAACGTTCCAGTCTCCATGTCCTCACCAATACTTGCTATAGTCAGTCTTTTTTATTTAATTTAATGAGTGGTAGTATCTCATTATGGTTTTAATTTGCATTTTCTTGATGACTAATGATATTAAGCGTATTTTCAGCTGCTTACTGGTCATTCATATACTTATTCTGTGAAGTATCCCTTTCCTATTTTATTTTTTTAAATGTTCCCTTTATTTTTTTAAGTGAACTACCCCAACATGGAGCTCGAACTCATAACCCTAAGGCTAAGGATCGCACATGCTCTATCAACTGAGCCACCAGGTGCCCCCCCTTTCCTTATTTAAAAAATTGCATTGTCTTATTTAGTTTTAAGAGTCTTTATACATTCTTTTTAAAAGGTTTTTATTTATTTATTTGACACAGAGAGAGATTAGGCACACAAGTAGGGGAAGCAGCAGCAGAAGGAGAGGAAGAAGCTGTCTTCCTGCTGAGCAGGGAGCCCAGCATGGGGCTCGGTCCCAGCGCTCTGGGATCATGACCTGAGCTGAAGGCAGAGGCTTAATCGGCTGAGCCACCCAGGCGCCCCAAGTCCTTATACATTCTGAAACAAGCCCATTATTTTATATATGTGTGGATATTTCCTGCCAGTATATGATTTTTTTTATTTTTTTAATGTTTCAATAGCTTCTCAACCTTTTGGCTAAGATCAACTGTATTTTCTTAATCTTGGAAAGAGCAGGAATTTTATGTTTTGATGAAGTCTAATTCATCAATTTGTTTTCTTTTTCATGCTTTTTGTGTTCTAATTAAGTAATCTTTGCCTGTCCTAAGATAGTAAAGATTTCCTCCTATGTTTTTTCTAGAACTTCTATAGTTCTAGGTTTTTATATTTAGATCTATGATGTCTTTTGAGTTACTTTTATGTATTGTGTGGTGTTTTTTAATGTTTACTCAACCTTGCATTCATGGGGTAAATGGTATTTGCTCATGATATCCTTTTTATATAGCATTGGATTAAATTTGCTAATATTTTGGTAAGGATTTTTTGTCTACATGAGAGATATTGGTTAATGCTGTTCTCTCTTTTTTTTGCAATGTCTATGTCAACTTTGGGTATGAGGATCACACTGGCCTAATGAAACAAGGTGACCTATGATCTATCCTCTTCTACTTTCTGAAACATTTGTTAACAGCTGGTAGTATTTCTTCCTTGAATGTTTGATAGAATTCCCAGTGAAATCACTGGGTCTGGAGTTTTCTTTCTGGGGAAGTTTTTGATAGGAAATGCAATTTTTAAAATAGTTGTATGGCTATTTATATTTTCTGTTGCTTTTTTTTTTCTTGTGTAGGTTTTTGGTAAGTTGTATTTTGCAAGAAATTTGTTCCATCTAATTTGTCAAATTTGTTGGCACAAAGGGTTTTATAGTATTTTCATATTATCCTTTCATACCCATTAGAACTGTGGTGATAAGCCCTTTTTCATTTACTTTATTGGTGACCTATGTTATCTCTTTTTTCTGATCAATCTAATTATGAATTTTGTTAATTTTGTTTATCTTTCCACAGAACCCCTAACCAGAGCTGTGTTAATTTTGTCTAAGTTGTTGGTTTCTGCTCATATCTTTATTATTTCTTTACTTCTATTAACTTTTGATTCACTTTGTTCTTCTAAGTTCTTAGAGTAGAATCTTGGATCATTCATATTAGATCGTTCTTAAATGTCTGTAAAGCTTTTAAAACTTTCATTTTCTTCTAAGTACTCTTTAATTGCATCCTACATATTCTGACGTAACTATGTTTTTAAGGTCTCATATACCCAATTAAGAATCTACTGGTTTCAGAGCAGCCCACCTGTCCATGCGTCCATATATTTATGAATCTCCTGAAGTCTGCGTAGGTTTAGAAACTCCCAAGCATCTGACTGGATTCATCTTTGACTAAACAGTTCACAGAGGTGCTCTGGAGTGTTTTACGTTGTACACGTGTCATGAAAACGTTTGTTTTGGTTTATTCGAAATCTCAGCATAAGAAGTAGTTTACCCCATTAGGATGGCCATTATTTAAAAAAAAAAAAAAGGAAAATAAGTGTTGGTGAGGATGTGGTGTCCTGGGAATCCTTGGGTGCTGCTGGTGCGAAAGTAAAATGGTGCACCCGTGTGGAGAATAGCGTGTCAGCTCCTCACACATCCACCGTGGAATTATCGTGTCTGCAGTCTCGCTTCTAGGTGTGTACGCAGCGGGACTGGCAGCAGGGGCTCCGACAGATGCTTGTACACTCGTTGTCTGTTTGGGTTGTTATAACAAAAATACTGTAAACTGGGTGGCTTCTAAATGACAGAAATTTGTTTCTCATGAGCAGTACAAGGGCAGACTGGGCAGTACAAGATCAAGGTGCTGGCTGATTGGGTGTGTGGTGAAGGCCCATTTCCTGGTTTATAGGTGGCCGTCTTCTCCCTGTGCCCTCACATGGCAGGAGGGGTGGGGGGTGTCTCTGAGGTCTATTACAAGGGCGCTAATCCCATTCTCTGCCCTCATGAACTAATCACCTCTTAAAGGCCCCACTCCAAGTACCGGTCACATTAGGGATTAGGTTTCTTCATAAGAATTTAAGCAGGGGGGACACAGATACTCAGTCTGTAACTTCACCAATGTCCATGCCACTTTATGAGGTGCTTTTGATTATTTTTTTTTTTTAATTTCAACTTTTTATTTAAATTCTAGTTAGCTAACATATAATGTAATATTGGTTTTAGGAGTAGAATTCATTGATTCATCACTTACATGTAACACCCAGTGCTCATTACATCACGTGCCCTCCTTAATGCCCATCACCCAGTTGCCCCATCCTCCGCATTCTCCTGCCCTCCAGCAACCCTCAGTTTGTCTCTGTAGTTCAGAGTCTCCCATGGTTTGCCTCCCTCTCTCTTAATTTTTTTTTCTTCCTTCCCCTATGTCCATCTGTTTTGTTTCTTAAATTCCACATATGAGTGAAATCATATAATTTTGTCTTTCTCTGACTTATTTCACTTAGCATAGTACTTTCTAGCTCCATCCACATCATTGCAAGTGGCAAGAATTCGTCCTTTCTGATGGCTGAGTGATATTCCATTGTATATATATCACATCTGCTTTACCCATTCATCAGCCGATGGACATTTGGGCTGCTTCCATAATTTGGCTATTGTTGATAATATTGCTATAAACAATGGGGTGCATGTGCCCCTTTGAATTAGTATTTTTGTATCCTTTGGATAAATACCTAGTAGTGTAGTTGCTGGGTTGTAGGGTAGCTCTATTTTTAACTTTTTGAGGAATCTCCACACTGTTTTCCAGAGTGGCTGCACCAGTTTGCATTCCCACCAACAGTGTAGGAGGGTTCCCCTTTCTCCGCATCCTCGCCAACACCTGTCCTTTCCTGACTTGTTAATTTTAGCCATTCAGACTGGTGTGAGGTAATATCTCATTGTGGTTTTGATTTGCATTTCCCTGATGCCGAGTGATCTTGAGTACTTTTTCACGTGTCTGTTGGCCATCTGGATGTCTTCTTTGCCGAAATGTCTGTTCATGTCTTCTGCCCATTTCTTGATTGGATTATTTGTTTTTCAGGTGTTGAGTTTGATCAGTTCTTTATAGATTTTGCATATTAGCCCTTTATCTGATATGTCATTTGCAAATATCTTCTTCCATGCCATAGGTAGCTTAGTCTTGTTGACTTTTTCCTTTGCTATGCAGAAGTTTTTATCTTGATGAAATCCCAATAGTTCATTTTTGCTTTTGTTTCCCTTGCCTCCAGAGACGTGCCTAGTGACAAGTTGCTCTGGCCAAGGTCACAGAGGTTGCTGCCTGTGCTCTCTAGGATTTTGATGGATTCCTATCTCACATTTAGGTGTTTCATCCATTTTGAGTTTATTTTTGTGCGTGGTGTAAGAAAGTGGTCCAGTTTCATTCTTCTGCATGTGGCTGTCCAATTTTTACACCACCATTTGTTGAAGAGACTGTCCTTTTATACTCGATATTCTTTTTTGCCTTGTTGAAGATTAGTGGACCATAGAGTTGAG